ATAGAGTAGTGATTAAGTTGGACAAAGCGGTGGTATCTCATCTTCAGATTCATAGTTCCGCCATCCTCTGCACAGCACGGAGGCACCTGTGCGGCCAAAAACCGACCGGGTCCCTTGCAGCAGTGCATCCCCCTTTATATCTCCCTGGGACGAGAAGCACACCATTGAGAAAGGCACAATGCCTCTCAGTTCCCACCCATACAATCAGCGGATTGTCTCTAGAAGGCACATCTTCTAGTGAGACGTTGGAAACTTCGTGGGGGGAAGGAGCTTGGAGACAGTAGATGTTACACTGAAACCATTTACGCCCTAAACAAAATACGAACGATCACTGGTTCCGGGCGACACACCATTTAAGAGTAGCGAGAGAATATGCAAACGAGAAAGTTACGGATTTCACCGCGAGCGGATTCACGGGTGCTTCAGCGAAAGGCACTCGAGCAATCTTGTCCCTTAACTCCCCTACTTTTCCTCCGTAAAACTGATACGAGGTTGCACGCTGCAGTCCACACTTCCTCTCCCCATAGAGCTTCAATACTACATCTCTTACTCAATACTGCGAAAATAACAATAACAATAATCGCGAAATGCGCCTCTAAAACGAATGAAGAACACTCGAAGAAATATTTTTTTCATGTTCAGAAATGTCTCAAACTGGGAAACAATGAAGCTTTTATTATGAAGGATAAATTCTTCGCAGTTAATCAATCCTTCTTTTATGGCGCTCATTCTACTTCCACCCAGAATCGCAGTGGCTCATTGAATGGGATGTGGCTTACACAATGGGGGAGGGCAGCCGATGTAGGATTCAGTGTTCTTATTCTCACAGACGAATCAGGTTATCGTCCCAGGAGGTGGAAGGTGTGGGCAGGAGCTGGTATGGGATTTGACTCTCAGAAGGCACTTGCCACTACACCACCTACGCCTTGGAATCGGTTCAATCGCTGGAAAACTAGCGAAATATGCCGCAATAGACCCAATGTAGGGAACTCGAATTTTTCCTTGTCGCAGGAATCATCTCTCCCCAGCCTCTGCCCCCAGACTGCTGACAAATGTCAGGAACATAGGGATTGAGTCTTATAAGGTGCGCTTACTTCGAGTTATCGTCGATGCTCTTGTATTCCTTGTGTGCAGTCAGGGTGAGAATAGCCGGAAAAAGTATTAACTGGTACAAATAGCAGATCACACTGGCAGCAACCGAATAGATGGCGAATGTCTGAAAAGCAGATCGTAAGCAATAAAGCTAGCTTGTAATAAGTCAGACCGAAGACATGGTTCGGACCTGAAGAGCTGGAGTGCTAGATAAGACACCGTTCCCGAACGAGATCACATTGGTGATTGAAGTGACAGTCATTGAAGAACCAGAAACCTATAGTAATGCATAACTACTTTTGATGTGCTTGTGAACGAGAAGTCAAGTGAAGTACGAATACAAACACCACTAACTTGAACCATTTCAGCAGTGCGCTTCGGTATGTCTAGACCTTTTTCTGTACGATGCCATGCTGCTAGCATAATAAAGACGTCATCGATACCTAAACTGACTTTTGTAGGACAACTGGTTCCGACAACTGCATGACTTATAAGGTTTGGTGAACAGTGGTACAGCTGTTCAATAGTGAGAGACGCTCTAAACGCCGCAGTATTCCGAATATCGAAATCGCCTCGGATGAGTTGAGCTCTCATCCCTCAAGTCCGACTCAGTGAAGATTGGGCTTGTCCACAGGAATAAAAGTACCTACTAAGAACCACTCCCCCGAAGCAGAGGCAGGACAGGTTACATGACCGAACAAAATAGGATGAATTCAATTCACTTTCTGAGTCAAATATCTTACCTATAGCGAGCACTAGGAACAAAGTGCTAACGACGATTGACTGAAAGGCGAGTCCAGTGGCAGATACCAGTCCAACAGTCGTAATTCCTGCCAGAATAGGCGTCATACCGCCAAGAAACGCTTCTACTGGCTTAGACTCCCTCCGCTTGTACCTAAACTAGGCAGTCTTGCGTGATCATTTTGGAGATTCTGTTAATAAAGACCGGCAGCTCATTGCAGTGTTCTGCCACCTTCATACTTTTGGACCAGGGACCCGTCATTCTCTCTCACCCCTCCTAAAAGTATGTGGAGCTCTAGCGAATATGTAGAAATGGTACCACAGCACATTATTTGGTCTTAGCTTGTTTCGAATGGAAGACAAATCAAAGTAATTGGATCCCCTTACGCGGACCCATGATCATCCGCAGCCAAGGTTCACCATTCTAGTGTGGACGAACACAGCAACCATGGTCGTATTGAACTATGGAGGGAGGCGATATCGTTTTACCCGCAATATGTTTTCTATTTTGTTTCCTCCCCGCACCGCTTTGTTCAGATGGGGGTGAGGGGTGGGAGGGAGGGTATCGCACTGCCCCTTGGGCGTGCAGGGAGGGCGCTCCTCCTTGCATAAGATAATTACCATACTGGTAAGGTATAGGAGTGTTGAGAGGAGGGGGGAGTGGTCTCATTAGCCAAAAAATTCTTCAAATCTTCGTATCGCAATAAATAACAGTGCACGATTAAGTGGCCCTGTTAGATTGCATCTTCTTGTGTCTTCAATTCACAAGGGCGCGGTCGGGTGGGTAGCGGGTGGGCCGAGTGGCGAACGGGCCCATTTTTCCCTCAGATTGGAAAAGCGTGGTGTCGTTTGAGAGTGTCTGTGTGATGTTTCATTCGCCGGTGGCGTGGGTGGGAAGTTGACGGAGTCCGCGTGAGGAGTGTGTGCTAGTTAGAGTTTGTTGATTTGCCATACACGGCTAATCAGAGACTGACAAATTTTCCCTACCTGAAATGAGCACAACATTAGAAATACCATAAGCATACCGAGAGCAATACTCAGTAATGGAGCTGTCTTTGTGCCCATCTCCTTCACCTAAACATAGGTGGATACAGTACGCGACCTTATTTGTCTCTTCAAATAATAATGAAGCTTTACAATCGATGAGATGAAACTTTGCAGTCGATAAACAGACCTCTTTTGCTACTAGATTATCCGATCCAGCACTGCATCGTAGCAAGCTATACTTGTTGGAATCGTACAACAGGCTGACCATCTGAACAGGCGCCGTAATTGGCACAGAAGACACCAATAAATGAAAAAAGCAGATCGCAGAGGAGTATAAAGTGAAAAAGTGTTTTGTACAGTCTTGCTCGCTACAGACGCTGGGGCGTATGAGAGGGTCTGAGTTTGTAGCACAACCCATTCGCCTGCATTCTTTGAAGCGATAAAGCTACAACAGTGGAACAGCCATGGAAAGCGGGCTGGCGCCGCGGCGCCCTCCCCCCTTGGAACGCCTCGATCTCTATAGCGAAAACACTATATGATGTTCAAGTAAGCGCTTTTCCGCTTTTCGGCACGTCTGAAACCAAAAGAACATTAGAGTCCAAGCATTTGATCGAAAGATGCTTTTCCTTGATAGGATCCGAGAGTAGGAGAATACGAGAGGTTGGAGTAGAGAGGTAGACACCTTCGATCAAAATCATGTATTAAAGAGATCTAGCAGAAGTGCTGCGCCGGAGACTAGGAAGATGCCCGAAACGGGAAAATGAATAATCAAAAGATCTTCATTGAGCCAAACATGACCCCCTCCATCCATTTACCGAATCGCTCTCTGTCGTACGATTAACTCTGAAGGACAGGAGTGTGAAGAATGATTCGATGCGCAGAATTGCCCTTTACATCCCTCTTCTCTCTTATTTGACATTAGTCTAATATGAGAGTAAACAAATAATAACAAATAAATATGGACGTATCAACAAGTAATCCTACTTTTGCTTCCCAGTCGAGTAGTGGCTTCATTTCAGGATAAACCATGTAATAACGAAGGATGACGGTAGTGAAGGATTCGATAGTATTGGTGTCATTGACAAGGCTCACGCCATAAATATTGCTGGCAATGAAGATTTGCCTTCCCAGAAGGTCCATAGTTGGATACGTAACCTGAAAGCGTAGTCAAGAAGCATAAATCTTCACTGGTATCCGCTGTGAAAACT